TTTTTTTTTTTTTTTTTTAACTGTGGTAAATACACAATATAAAAAATATATGTAGTATGACATAAAATTTATCACTGTACTCACTTTTAGGCGTGCAACTCAGTGGCGCTCAGGACATTCGCAGTGTTGTGCAATCACCTCCACCGTGCATCTCAAGAAAGTTTTCCTCATCCCAAGTTGTAATTGTATTTGCGCTTCTGTGTCTGGCTTACTTCGCTTAGCATAGTGTTTCCCAGTTCATTCATGTTGTAGCACGGGTTAGAATTTCCTTCCTTTTGAAGGCTGAATACTACCCCATTGTAGGGAGAGAGCACTTTTTGTTGATTCATATCCACACATGAACATTTGGGTTGTTTCCGCCCTTTGCTACTGTGAATTGTGCGGCCCTGAACATTAGGGTACGAATGTCTCTGAGTCCCCGCTCTCCATCCTGTGGGGTATCTACCCAGAAGGGAGATTGCCGGCTGGTGGGGTTTTCGAACTCCTTCTCAGGGCCGTCTCTTCTCACCCAGGTGGGAGATTAGCCCAGCATGAATATGGGACCCTGAGCTTTGCCAAATATCCCTGATTGAAGATCCTTCTCGGTAAGAGAAGGAAGAGAAAAAGTATGTGGCCTCTGTGTCTATGTCTTCCCTCTGAGGCAACTGACCGCGTCACTTTCTTCAGCTTTTCCCACTGGGAAGGTTGGGAGTGGGGGACCACCTCAGCCAGACCCCAGGCTCCAAGCGCAGAGGCATGCTGGCTTCACATTCTTCGGCAACAACCTGAAAGTTTGGGCTGGACGTTCTCACCCCGCAGAATATCAGAACCATGAGCAGAGAGAAAAGACTGGGAGATGCCCACTTAATATGGAGAAGCCCAGGGTCAGGATTCTCAGACACACCTGGGGCCGAGGGACAGGAGGGGAGTTCCTTTCGGGCCTTTCCGATCCCAGACCCAGAGCACACAGAGCAATGCCAAATCGTAGCTGGTTTCCAGGTCTGTTCCCCGCTGAAGAGACTGCCGTGTCCCCGTGTCAGAGCCCTCGGCCTCCTGAAGGCAGGATGGGCCTGTCTTCCTCTGACTCTCCTGAGCAACGGCATGCTTTTCTGCTGTCGCCCCGCTGCCTATCAGGACTGAGCGGCTTTGGCTCCCTCTGGCTTCCCCCCCGAGGGCTTGAAAGGAATGTGGGTGAGTGGGTGGGAGCTTCCAGGAAGCACGCAGAAATTTCTGGCAAATTTCTTATGTGGTTTATTAAAAAGGCTCTCTCCCGGTGCCTCAGGCCATTGAGGGTCATAGAGTGAAAAAAAAAAAAAAAAGCCGTGTGTGTTAAAATACACAATGAATCACAAATAATTTCTGCTGGCCAGGAAAATGGATGGATTTCCAGCATTCCCAGATTCCGTCTCCCCAGGTGAGATGGCCATGTTGAGCCCTCGGAAGTTGCGTGCCTCACCGTGATGCAATAGCTTTTGGGGGGACAGAACCCCGTGAGAAGGCTAAGCCCGGTTCTGAGGCAGCAGTCGGCCGAGGACACCCTGCTTGTCCCCGTGGTGCTCTGCAGCCCGTCGGACCCCAGGAGCTCTCACGTGGGCTCCGGCCAACAGGGTCTGTTGGTTTCAGAGCCCCAGGCCCGCGTGAGCCGTTTGGTCACACTGAGCATCGGCACATGCCTCCTGGGGACGAAAGCCCAGAACGCACGGACCCTTTTCCTCGGGCCTGGCACAGAGACTTAGTAAAGGGGGCAACGAGCACTGTGTCTCCCCTTCCTTTCGCCTGCTCCGCCTCTCAGGGACCTTTCCCTCTCACTTGGCTGCAGTAGAGAAGGGCCCCGACCCAAAGGCCCTCGGACGGCGGCCCGGGTGGGCACATCTCTGACCGGGTTGAGCCCCGCTGCCTGTCCCAGCGCACCACCCGCTCTCCGAACGGCCCCATCCACACCCCGCTCACGTTCATTTCTGCCAGGAAGTAGTTTACCTGCTAGAATGTCTCGTCTAGGATCCTGACACAGCGCTCCTGCAGGATTGTCCTCGAGACTATGTTCGTGTTCTTCTTCCTCTGGCTAGAGAAGATCGTAATATGTCTTAGTAGTCTTTCAACAGAGTTTTAAGAGGCACCTGACTTTTGCCTTTCTCTTGCCAGAAGCATTGGTTTGAGGGGGAGCAGCCTGAATGGGGGGCTGGAGGGGGCCTGAGGGGACCCCACTTCCTTTGCTCTCCTCTCTCCCTGCCCCCCACCACTGTGGTCTCTACTGTCACTCCAAGAGACTGCATGGAGAAAGGTGAGTGGCCCTGCCGGCTCAGGAATGGGTGGCATTTGGATAGACAGGGACCTGGAGCTGTTCCGTGAGGACAGAAGGGAGCAGAGAGCAGAGGCAGGTCTGATCCCGGGTCCTGAGAGCGGTGGGAAGATCTGGAGGGCACGGGCAGGGAGTTGTGGCGGGGGGCTGGCCTGGCGTGGCGGGGGGAGTCCCAGGAGTGTCTTGGGCCAAAAAGAACAGTCCAGGCCTGACCTGTGGGGAAGGCTCGGCGGTGAGGGTTGCAGAGGGCAAGAGGTGGGTGGCCGGGTTCTGCGGTGAGGACGACAGGGAAGGGGCCTTCGGGCTGCGGGGCAGAGTCCCGCTGAGAGCCAGGGGGCCTCAGTGCTCCTCTCCAACCACCATCATTACGAGGGCCACGCTGCCTGGGCCCTAGTGTTCCCGTAAGTGTGAGTGCGGGGCCTGAGCTAAACGTCCCTGAGGTCTCCTCCCCTGTGAGATTGCAACACACTTTCTGACATTTTCTACAGCAACTCCTAGTCCTCCTTGCAAAGTAGGGCCATGTCCTTCCGACCAGGACCGCAACACACACCCACGCTCACAAACACACAAACCCACACTCACATATACACACAAACCCAACACACACCCACACACTCACAAACCCAACACACACCCCACTAAAACGCAACACACACCCACACTCACAAACAGATACACACAAACACACTCACAAACATGCAAACACACACTCACAAACACAACACACACCCACAACACACATTCACAAGCACACACACACAAACCCAACACGTACACCCACACACTCACAAACACAACATACACCCACACACTCACAGACACACATTCACAAACAACGCACACCTACACACTCACAAACACAATACTCACCCACACTCACAAACATACAAACACACACTCACAAACATATATACATAATCCCAACACACACCCACACACAAACACAACACACACCTACACACCCACAAACACAACACAACCCCACGCTCACAAACATACACAATCACAAACACAACACACACACTCACAAACACAACACACATCCACACAGTCACAAACATACA